GATTTGAATTTTATAGAGAATATTTTTCAAGGATTATCATAGCTACAATGATGGACTTTACACAGAATATTTTTCAAGTTTTAGCCGGGCTATAACTGTGTATAGAATATTTTTCAAGGACTATCGGAGCTATAATCGAGGATTTTTTAAAGAATATTTGTCAAGGACTATCTATGGACTATATGTTCATGGATTTTATAGAGAATATTTTTCGAGGACTACCGGAGCTACAATCGTGGCTTTTATAGAGAATATTTTTGAGCTATTTGAAACGACTTCGTAAGGATTATTTTTCAAGGACCATTATAGCTTCAATAGTGAATTTTATAGGGAATATTCTTCGAGGACTATTAGACCTACAATCGTGGCTTTTATAGACAATTTTTCAAGGATTTTCTAAGGAATATTTTTCAAGGATCATTTAAGCTTTAATCATGAATTTTATAAAAAATATTTCTCAAGAACTACCATAGCTTTAGTCGCCAAGAATAATTTTCTCCGTTAAGCCCTCTAAAATATTGCTTTCAAAATCCACCAGTATACCCCGAAATGTCTTTTAGCATATTTGTTATTTTTCGAAAAAAAATCTTGCATAAAAATCCAACTTGTGCCTTGAAAATCTATTTATTTTTTAAATTAATCTATTAATGCCTTCAAAAATCATCAAAAAAAATCACAATTATAGGTTCATATTCCTTTTAAGTTATTTTTCAAAAATCCGCCATTGTTTGCCTTCTAAAAATATTTTCGAAGAATAATCTCTAAATGCCTTGAATTTTCCCCCTATTTTGAAGGCTTAGTTCAAATAATAATGGGTATTTTAGGGGAAAATTTTCAAGGCATTGAGAGTTACAGTCGATTATTCTTCGAAAATATTTTTAGAAGGCAAACAATGGCGGATTTTTGAAAAATATCTTACCCAAAATTCCCAAATTTTAGCCTTTATAGTTCTTAAAAATATTCTTTACGAAATACACCATTATAGCTCAGATAGTCCTTGAACAATATTTTTTAAGAAGCTCAGATAGTGTACGGAAAATAATCTTTATAAAATCCCCCTTTATAGCTATGATGATTCATCCATTAAATATCTTACGAAATATACTATTATAGCCCTGGAAAACATGTCTTGAAAATGCACGATTTTACCTCCGACAGTCCTTGATAAAATATTCTTTTAAAATATTTATTCAAGTGCTTCAAAAGTTCATAATTTTTCAACTTTAAATCTTTTCTGGTAATTTTCGCCAACTTAGTAATTCTTTTTCACAAATATTAATATTTTGCATCGAAAGAGGAATGTCTAAGCTAAAGTTTGGCATTTAAATCATTTCGCTATCATAACGCATTCAAAAGTTATCAACAATCTAAAAAAATGTTGATTTTAATGTACCATGGCAACACTGGCAATGGCTTTCTGACAGCGCCATCTATTGACACACCACATTCAAATTTGGACTATGTAAATTTCATTAGGTTTTTCTTTGGCCCATAACATTGGAAGCATAGAAGATACAGAAACCAAATTGGTGGCATATGAAATGTAAGAGGATGGACTTTTAGCTAAAGTTAACTGTACCGAAAATATATGAATAGTTTAAGCAAAAATTGATTTACCAAGTTGTTTTTCCACTTTCCCCACTCAAATAATATTTCTTTTTTATTTTAAATATTTGCATAGCAAAGAATATCATTTTCGCTTTATTCTGAGCTAATTTTCATGTTAATAACGACATTAGTTTAAAAGTAATAAGCTTTTAAAAATAGCAATGAAAAAGTATTTTTTTATATCTGAATCATAGCCATCAATAGATGGTGTTCGGGTTGTGCTATTTTTCAATGCCTAACCAGTGTTGTAAAGTGTGGAAATATTACACTGATTTATCTTGGACGCCTGAAAGCATGCTTTGAATTGCCAAATAAGCTTTATTTAAACTTTTTGTATTAGGAAATTATATTGGGTGAATTCAATAAATAAAAATAAACAAATTATGAGTTTTTTTTCTTCAAAGTTGATTTTTATTTAATATGAAATAAATAAATTCTCATACATTTTTTTAGTAGTTTTTCGTAGATATTAAAACTGTAATAAATAAAAAAAAATAATTGCGACAATTTGATGTCAACTAGACCTCAATTCTCATTCTATAAAAATGTGAAATGAAAACTTTATAAAGGGAAGATGGCAAAAATTGAGGGCTGTACCAAAGTCGCACTTACTTCACAGCTTGGTTTTGCAATCCATTCTTTAGAATTGGGCAGGAAACTCAGAGAAAAAGGAAAGGATGTATTAAAGTTATGTATATTACAGATATAATCGTGGTCTGCTCCGAAAAAATGTATGGAACACTTTTTGGAGTTATTAAATGACATATAATATAAAATAAAATATATCTCGGTTATTGATCTGGGAGGAGGAGGAGGAGGAAAAAAATTTGAAAAATCTACAACTATGACATTGAAAGTCCTTGAAGAACATTCTTTAAAAATTCCACAACTTTAGTCCTTGATAATATTTTGAAAAAAACCCATGATTATAGCTCTGATAGTCTACAAATACAAATCGGATAGGAAGGCAACTCTGATACCCTTGAAATATTATTCAATATTATTTATAAAGATCTGTAGTAAAGGTCTGATAGTTCTAGGAAATCATCATTGAAAACCCATGGTTGTAGCTCTCTTAGTCCTAGAAAAATATTCCGAAAAAATCAGTATTCCATCTTTGATAGGTCTTGAAAAATATTCATGAAAAGATCCGCCATTGTTTGCCTTCTAAAAATATTTTCGAAAAATAATCGACTGTAACTCTTAATGCCTTAAATTTTTCCCCTAGTTCGAATAATAATGGTAATTTTAGGGGAAAAAATCAAGGCATTAAGAGTTAAGTCGATTATTCTTCGAAAAATATTTTAGATGTCAAACAATGGCGAATTTTTGAAAAAAAAATTTATAACAAATTCCTAAAAATCCAAGTTTACTTGGATATCTTTACCCATGATTATAGCTCTTCTGAATGCCCTCGAAAACTTTCCTCAAAAGAAATTCCCGATTGTAGCTCTCAGTGTATTCATAAAAAAAATTTCCAGGACTCTTGGAACTTAATTTGAATACTTTTAAGGACTTTCACGGCTATAATCATGGATTTAATACAGAATATATTTCAAGGACTGTCCGAACTAGAATCTTGCCATTAATACAGAATATTTTTCAAGGACTGTCAGAGGTAAAATTCACGATTTTGGCGTTTCTAAAGATATTTCACGGAATATAACTCAAAAAAAACGTGGATTTTTTTAAGAATGACTATCAGAGCTGCAATCTATACAGAATATTTTTCAAGGACTGTCCGAACTAGAATCTTGCCTTTAATATAGAATATTTTTCAAGGACTGTCCGAACTAGAATTTTGCCTCTAATACAAAATATTTTTCAAGGACTATCAGAGGTAAAATTCACGATTTTGGCGTTTCTAAGGATATTTCAAGGAATATAACTCAAAAAACGTGGATTTTTTTAAGAATGACTATCAGAGCTGCAATCTTGGATTTTTAAAGGATATTTTTCAGAGATTACACTGTGCAACACAAAAAAAATAATTACGAGAAATATCCAAGTGTTGGAGATTTTTCCACAAAGTCACACAAAGTATGGCTCTTTAACCCTAAAATATGTTTTTATATGTATGCTTTTCTCGTGTTTATGTAAAATTCAGAGTCTTGATGTCCTCTGGGTCATATAGTAGAATTTTATGGCAACTTATTTTGTAGAATATTTTCTTCTGGCAGTAATCTTCCTATCAGAAAATCCTATATATTTTAGATTATTTGCCCAATAAGCGGTCGATGACTTTGGCACAACGTGAATTTCATGGCAGATTTTCTGGCCGTCCATCGCCTATTGGTGAAACACTGCTGCCGGGCATGGCAGAGAATATTGCTGCTGTAGCCGAGCATGTCATGGAAGCACCGTCGACCAGATGATGTGCAAGCAAATGGGTATCAGTCGACGGTCTTTACACTGTTAGCTGCTGACCGCCAATCGTGTCTAACATAAGCTCAATCCAGTCTTAATCACCACCGAGAAAAGATAATTTTTCATCAAAAATAATCATAAGTGATGAGGCCCATTTCCATTTTAGAGGGTAGGTAAATAAGCAAAATTTAGGCTTCTGGGGCACTGAAAATCCGCATGTAACCCACGAAGAGCCACTACACCCGCTCAAAGTCTATGTATGTGGCGCTGTTTTCGCTGGAGGAGTCATCGGACCTTTTTTCTTCGAAGACGTCGCGAGCCAAGCGGTTACTGTGAATGGTGAGCGCTACAAAGCAATGATCAACAACTTCTCTTTGCCGGAACTTGATAAGTTGGGATTGGAAAAAATGTGGTTCCGACAGGACGGTGCAACGGCACACACTGCATGTGCCACAATCGATATGCAGAAGAATGCATTTCCCGGGCGCCTAATCTCGCGTTTTGGGGATTTGCAGTGGCCAGCAAGATAGCCTGATTTGACCGCTCCAGACATGTTTTTGTGGGACTTTTTGAAGTCGCGAGCTTATGTGAACAAGCCCCAGACTCCCTCAGCTCTTAAAGATAATATCCATCAGGAATGTGAGGACCTATCACCGAAAGTTTTGGCCAAAATTATGAAAAATGTGATAAAAAGTTCTCAAATGATAATAAACTGTGGCGGCGGCCATTTACGTGACATCATATTCTTGACTTGATGTAAAAAATATAAAAGACCAAATAAAAATAATCCACAAGAAGAATTGAAGTTTTTCATTTTTTATACCCTCAGCCATATGGAGGGTATATACAATTTGATACGGTCAAAACGTGCCTTGTTTTAATTACAGCCAAAAAAAAAAAAACATCGGAAGTTTACTTTTGCGCCACTTTGTATCTAAAATGCACCGTTTCCTTAAAAAAAATATTTTTTTCAGAAGCCTTATTCTATCCTTAGGTCATTATTCAAAAAATTTTTTTAATTTTTTTTTTTAAATCTCCTCTTACTTTATTTTCAAATAATTACAATTTTCTTAAATCTAACATTCATAATTTATATCGAAGGTTTTGATAGGTAAATCTAATAAAATTTATGCCGACTATTTTTTTGCTTGAATTCGAAAGGTTTTACACCATTTCAATACGAACGATTTTTTTTATAAAAATATGTTTTATAATTAATGTTTTTTTTTTATTTTCTATAAATTATTTAAATTTCTAATATCACAGTTATTAACAAAAAGTTTTTTAGTGTTTCCACTTGTCCAGTTATTCGATAACCAGTCACACATCTTTTAATAAAAACAATGCCTCCTTCATTGGCCAAAAACGAAAAGCTGTTGTTGCCTTTGCCAGGCAAGTTGTTGTAAATGTCGCAGATAGAGAGCCGACCTTAGAGATTGTTCCATCATGGCAACATGCTGTTGTTGGTGGAGGATATATTGTTGTTGTAGCATTTGTTGTTCCTGTTGCTTGCGGCGACGATTTAGCAAGCAGGCGAGGGTATTGCGATTCCTTCGCTCTTGTTCCTTTTCGGTACGGGGTTTATTGGCACTGTTGTGGTGGCGCACCATATTCGGATGATAGGGTAAAATATTCGGTGTGATGGGGTTGAGGATATTTGAGACTGGAGTTGTGTTAATTTTGTTGTTATCCTTGCTGCTTTCGATTTCCCATGGCCGAAACAAGGGTTTTATTTGTTTTCGCTTTATTGGAGGTTCTGGTAGTGGTGCCTCCCTTTGGGCCTTTTCCAATATTAGATCAGCAGTGATGATTATGTTTTCTTTGTCTTCTATATTTTCACGTTTACGTTTCATCTGTTGGGCGCCAGCAAATTTCTTGTGGGAATATTCCTCTTCGGCTTTTAAATTGAATTTTTTGTGTTGATATAATTCAGCCATATTTATTCGAATGATTTTTCTTCCTTTTGCCTTATGTGTTGTTATCTTGTTGTAGAGCGGAGGGTGAATGTTGTTGTGATCCTGATTTGAATAATATTTATATCCTTGAGGGGTATACCTGTAAAGGCTACATGGGGGATTTAATTACCTGTGGCATCTGCTCATTATCCCCGATTCGTAATCGGAAGGTTGTTTATCTCAGTTGTGTAACGTTCTCGTTAATCCCTTTAGGGGTTTAAAGTTGATCCGGATTTGTTTAATTACAGGTATTTATTTTTTCCTGAAAGGAAAACAAATCATGCAATAAATACGTGTGGAAGGATGTTGGGAAATAATTATTGAAATGCTAAGCCCAAATAAATTCTGCAATGATTATACCCAACTAAAAGGAATATCAGATTTTTTTTTAATTTAATTCGGAATCAAAAATATGAAGACCTCATTAGAGAGATGTTTTTCATTCGTAAAATCGTATATTTTAAACAACTTTACTGCAAGACATTTCGGAGCTATAATCATGGTTTTTGGAAACATTTTTGAAGACTTAACAGATCCTTGGAATAAAACTCCATATTTTTATGAACAATCATAGCTAAAATCGTGAACTATTTTTTCAAGGACTATTTAGATTTTTTATAAAATATTTTTGTTTGTATGGTTTTTTCAAAATTATAATCATGAATACTGAGGATTCTCTTCAAGAACATTCGAAGCTGAAAACGTAAATATTTTTGAAGATATTTTTTTCCACCATAGTATGGAGGGTATATTAAGTTTGCCATTCCGTTTGTAACACCTCGAAATATACATTTTAGACCCCACAAAGTATACATATTCTTGATCAGCATAAAATTCTATGTCAATTTGTAAGCCCGTCTGTGGAAATCACTCCGAACGAAATGAAGTAGGTTGATAAAATTTTACTCAAATGTGTATTATGTCTGCAGGACTTTTGGTATTGAAAATGGGCCATGTAGGTCCACGTCTTCGTATAGCCCCCATATAACGGTACCTCCCGATATTCTGTTTTTTTTGATGATTTTAGTGATATTATTCATCTAATAGTTTCAAATGTGGTATTTGAAGTTCGTAGTGGATACTACAGCCTATGACACGTCTTTGTACAGCCCACATCTATAGCGGTACCTCCCGATATTCGGTATTTTAATGATTTTAGCGGCATTATTCACCGGAATTGTTTCAAATTTGGTATTTGAAGTTTGTAATGGATACTACAGCCTATGACAGAAAATTGTCATTTTATAACCCCCATGGTACCACCCTATATTTGGGATTTTGATGATTTTAGCTACATTATAAACAGATTTTTTCAAGTTTCGCATTTAAATTTGGATTTTATTTTTTTGAAAATTGCCAAATTTGTACCAAATGGCGGAGGGTATTCAAAGTTCGGCCCGGCCGAACTTACAGCTTTTTTACAAGTTTTTTTTTTGAAGGCGCATCAAAGGCAAAAATGTGGATTTCTTTGGAATCTTTTCAAAGGCAAAGCAGAGTCTAAATTATGTATAATTGGGAAAACGTAGCAGAATCCAGAATAGTAATTTTTTAGTATACCCTACACCGAATGTTTTCTCATCGGAGAAAATCAAATTCGGCAGTTTACCACTTTCGGTCAAGCGAAGCAACTCTAGCCCTTTTGAGTCTAATTTCTTTCTGTTGCGGTGTAAGTTCTTGCACTTTTTGCAATTTCAATGGCTTTACACCGAGCTCATTTTTCAATATTTGCCAAATAAAATATTGAGATATGTTCAGCTCATGAGCTATTTTTCGGCCACTGGGACGCAGTTTTCGATCAAGTCGCTTCTTTACTTTTCGAACCATTTCTGCTGATGTTGTTTTTTTTCCGTCCACTTCCTTGACCTCGGGCTTCGCTACCAGTATCACGGTAACAGCGGGGGTACGAGACACAAAAGATTTATTCACATTTAAATGTTGGTGTGCTCTAACAGTAGCCACTTGTGGTTTTCCAGCCAAATATAAAGAAATCGCACTATCACGCTTGAATTCCATCACGAATAAGTTTTTTTTTTCTGGAAATTTCTCACCAAAATGCTTTAGTATGCTTGTAAACAATATAATGAGCTGTCACTGGAAAAATTTTAACAGCTGTCGTACGAGTGGCTTAGAAATGACAGCAGTGTGAGGATGATTGCAGTTTTTTCATCTCACCCTGTATAAACGATCTATATTTTTGATTTTGAACTCAGTAGTAGATCCTTAAGAATTTTTTAAATAATACTTATTTAAAGAACTAACGGATTTCTAAAAATATTTGTCTTTGATTTTTAAGCCTTTTTTTCAAGGGACATTTCAGCTCGTGTTTTTGAATCAAAAATCAATAATCGCTGATTTTAGAAGAATAATAATAATCGAGGACAATTTAAGTTTCGATCGTAAATTCCTAAGAATACTTTTAAAGGACCATATATTTTAACTGTAAACGTGAATTTGTTAACAATAATTCTAAAAATTTCCTGACTTTTATCGAATTTTTCAAAGAATAGTTTATAAGGACTAGCAAACCTTAAATCGGATTTTTTTAAATATTTCAAGAAGGACTATCAGACCTATCAACGTGGATTTAATAAAGAATATTTTATAAGGACTAGCAAAGCCAAAATCGAAGATTTTTAGAAAATATCGTTGATTTTATGATTAAAAACTTTTTCAAGGACTATCCGAGCTTTTATTGTGGATTTTATTAGGAATATCTGTTAAGGATTATTAGGTATATAATTCTGGATTTTTAAGATTTTTTCCAAGGCCATTAGAGATGTAATAGCAGATTTTTAATGAATAATTTGAAGAGTTATATCCATAGAAGAGGACATTTTTTGTATGTTTGTTTGTAATTTATGGACTCGAAAACTGCTGCACAGATTTTCCTGAAAATGTCCAAATATACTACAATATTGCCTGAAAGTAACATGGGCTATATACATTTTTGAAATTCCACTTGGAACTGGAGAACTAGCATCACAATCGGAGGAAGCTCCCAAAAATTTAGATTATATATGCACATATCTATTGATTGATTACATATTTGAAACAAAAATAAATGTTCTTAATCGTTTCAGATTGTATATAGCTCCCATATACATCTTCGGCCGATTTCATGTATTTGATGCACCAAACACGCTATGTACGTCTAATTTTAATGGAATTTGCAATGTGTAACGGAATTTAAAACGAACATAAGTTTGCCAAATTGTATTGAAATCGGTTCAGATTTGGATATAGCTCCCATACATATTTTCGGCCGATTTCGCTTATTTGGTGCACCAAACACGATACGTATGTCCGATTCCAATCAAATTCGGCATGATTGACTAAATTTGGTACTTTAAAAAAAATTGTCAAATTTTATTCAAATCGGTTCAGATTTGGATATAGCTCCCTTATATATTTTCGCCCGGTTTTATATATTTTATATATTAACGATGGGTACGTGATATGTAGGTCCGATTCCAATGAAATTCGACACGCTTGGCATTTGCTATGAAATTAATAAATCTCAAGTAAATTACATTAAAAATGTATTTACTAATAATGAAAATTATGTGTTTGCTTTTTATACTGTTTATGCAACAGGTTTGTATTTCAAGTTAAAATCTTCCTTTATTCTTAATTTTTTTTTTTTTTTTTTTTGATATTTTTATGGAAAAATTATTCTAGATCAAATTTCATTGTGAGTCTGTGTGAAAAATAAATATGTGTATCCAATATGTGCCATGAAAAATATCATATTTTTGGTAAATAAAAAAAGTAAGATCATTAGTTAATCAACTTAATTGTAGGTTCTCATCAGTCGATATTCTGCGCCATAAAATCTTATAAATAAAACATACATCTCTAGGTACATAAATTCTATTCCACCCTTCAAATAATTCCCATTTATGGTTATTTCCTAAAATGAGGATATTCTAAAATACATTTGTGTAATACCATAAAAAAATTATGACTTTCCATTTAACATTAAATTCCAGGTATCTCTTCTGAAACAGGATAAACATAAAGTTTTTCTCAACAAATGAAGTTTTATTGCTAAGGTGTTGTAAAAGTTATAGATGTGTTTTTTAACACATTTATGAGGAGTGTTATTTTGAAAAAGGGTATTTTTCAAAATAACGACCTTGACTGTCGTCCACAATTCGAGCAACCGTGAAATATTTGACAGGTATAACAATATGATGTTCATGAGAGGTAAGTTTTAAAGGACTAACGATTCTTCGCAAGGACGAAAATGTAGATTTCACAGTAATTATCCTCTCATTGTTGTTGAGGAGGGAAGATAACGAATTTAATATAAAAAGCAGAATATTTGGATTTAAAAGAATAATTTTCAATGGCTTCAGAATTTTAATTAAGATCTAAAAGAAAAGCTTATTCTGGTTTATTATGGTATTATTAGTATTTATGAATAAATTTGAATGAATAAATATTATTTTAGTATTCTCGAAGAGAAGTTAATTAAGAAAATTATACATGTGATTAAGTAAATCCTTTTCCCACGTGGAGATATAAAACGTAGATTTTAACACTTCATATCCTAACTAAATCAAACTTGCCAAATTTTTTCACGGATTTTTTTTAAATATCGTATTTAAAGTTCGTAATGGTATATTTTTCGATGGAATTATTTTAGTACTTTTTTACGTTTCTTCAAAATGGTGGAGGGATTAAAAGTTCAGCCCGGCCGAACTTAGCTGTTTTTTCCTTATTATTATTATTGTTATTATAAGCATAAAATTCTAAGTCGATTTAACGATGTCCGTCTGTCTGTCTGTTGAAATCACGATACAGCCCACATTATTTAGCGTAGAGCGCCAAAATTTAGTAGACAATTTTGTATTGTGTCTAGGATGGTTGGTATTGAAAATGAGATATATCGGTCCACATATAACGGTACCTCCCGATATTCGGTATTTTGATGATTTATCCCAATTTTTTTCACTGATTTATCTGAAAATTGGTATTTGTAGGTCATAATGGGTCCCAGTTCGTGTGGCGAGACATTGCATGTATAGGTCCACGCTTTGGCATAGCCCCCATATAAAGGTACCTCCCGATATTCGGTATTTTGATTATTTTTGCCACATTTTTTCACGGATTTGTCTAAAAAGTGGTATTTGTTGGTCACAATGAGTTCCAGCTCCGGCGGCGAAACATTGCATGTATGGGTCCACGATTTGGTATAGCCCCCATATAACGGTACCTCCCGATATTCGGTATTTTGATGGTTTTTGCCACCTTTTTTCA